TGCTGTGCAATACGGCCCTGGTCAGCCACGACCAATATGTCCTTTTAACTGGCTGAAGTTACACACAACTTCCTTGCAATGTTCAGGTTGTTAAGGGGATGGAGGAGCTTCAAGGAAATTGCTTAGAAACAGCAACGCTTTCTTGCTATAAAACTAATGGTCTCACAGTTGCCCAGACTCTAGTATGGTGAATACAGTTCTTTCAGATGTGTGGAATATCTAAGTTTGCAAATGGTTGATGGGCTGATGAGTGTCCCTTTATACTGCAGTTTTTTATATACACTTCATAGCATGATACTGAGATCTAAAGGTAGTCATTGAAATAAAACTTAATGTTTAATGTAAAGAACAGGGGCACAAAGTAACAAGCCAGCAGGTTCTAGTCCAAATGAGTTTAGTGCCAATATCCATAACTTCTCATAATACGGGGAGGATTCTAACACAGCTGCACTCTCCAGGCACTTGGAATTTGTGTATTACATGAGTCGGTCATGAATGGGAAGAGGGCAGTTCCCTGTTCTGCGGGTCAGTTTGTGAGGTACCCGCATGCCTGGACTCTTAGCAGAAGGGAAGAGTTCTGTTGAGCTTGCCTACAGTAGTGTGATGGTTTTGCACCATTAGCCTGCTGTATGTGTTTGTGTGTCAGTGAAAAATGCACGTATGGAGGAGCTGTGAATTCCAACCTTTCACATAATTTATCTCAGGTATTTGGAGAAGAGGGTTTGACCTTAAATGTGGAAGATATTCAGCCTCATGACTTTGGTAAAGTTGGAGAGGTCATTGTGACAAAAGATGATACCATGCTCCTAAAGGGGAAGGGTGAAAAGGCTCAAATTGAAAAGCGCATTCAGGAAATCATTGAGCAGCTGGAAGTCACCACAAGCGAATATGAAAAGGAGAAACTGAACGAGCGGTTGGCCAAACTCTCTGATGGAGTAGCAGTATTGAAGGTGAGAAGTTAAACTTCTTGGGAAAGGGGCAGGATCAGTCCTTCATTGCCAGTGCAAGTTACTGCTCTGTGGGTTACATAGTCTTAGCAACTGGTTGGGATAAGCACTTCTACTGCTTTTACAGTGCTGTGATTCAGTATCAAGAACTTGATTAAACACAGTTGTAGTTGATTACTTCAGCTTTAGAGTGCTGAGGTACAGAAGAACGCTGGCAGCACAGGGGAGAGCTGGCCTTTGGTGCTTTTCAGTTCACTCCATGTGGCTGCTCGGTTTTGCCAGCAGCGCTCCCTCAGCCAGGCCCAGTGTGTGGATCTTGACACGTGACTTGCTGCTTGCAGGTTGGTGGCACCAGTGATGTTGAAGTGAACGAGAAGAAGGACAGAGTTACTGATGCCCTGAACGCGACCCGTGCTGCTGTGGAGGAAGGCATTGTTCCGGGCGGCGGCTGCGCGTTGCTTCGCTGCATTCCAGCATTAGATGCTTTAGCTCCAGCTAATGAAGATCAGAAAATTGGTAAGTAAATTACTCACGTATGTGTAAGTGTTAAGAACAGGCATTCTGTCCCGAGGCTTTACAAGGCATAAGTGCAGGTTGCTTTCACTGAATTTGGAGTGACATGATCTTCAGAAGCTCATTGTCCCTTTGGTATGATGGCATCAGCTTTACAGTAGGAAGGAGGTTTCGCTGCATCCCCCTGGTTTGGGTGTGAAAGAACCTGTAACAATAAAGCAGCAGTAGTCCCTGCAGAGAACTGCAGACTGTTAATGGAAGAATTGACTGTCATCACTGCAAGCAGACATAAAATCTAAGAACACTTTAGAGACTGTGTGGCAAAAGAAGTAGAAAAGGGCTCCATGCTTTGTTACAGGAATAACATTCCTTTTGCAGAAGTCAATCAAAAATGGGTGTGAATATCCTGCAAAGATGTCATTTATTGACAAGGGTCCAGTAGAGAACCTTTTTCTCTGGAACTGATAAAAACAGCTCGTGTTTTTGCACAGAGGGTTCTCCTTGCACCATCTCCGGCACGTGAGGGCATGCCTTGGCAATAGGAGCAGCATATGTAGTAGGCAATTCTAAACATCCTTTTTCTTCCAGGCATTGAAATAATAAAGAGAACACTGAGAATCCCAGCAATGACGATCGCAAAGAACGCGGGTGTTGAAGGATCACTAATAGTTGAAAAAATCCTGCAGAGTCCCTCAGAAGTTGGCTACGATGCAATGCTCGGGGACTTTGTAAACATGGTAGAAAAAGGAATTATAGACCCCACGAAGGTAACCCAAAACAGTCTTAATTCTCAGCTTTCCTTTCTCCCAATTAACGTGCTCGCAGCAGAGATGAAGTTATTTCTTCCCTATCTGTAGGTTGTGAGAACTGCTCTGATGGATGCCGCGGGTGTCGCATCTCTCTTATCGACAGCAGAAGCAGTGGTCACCGAGATGCCGAAAGAAGAAAAGGAGCCGGCGATGGGAGGAATGGGTGGGATGGGTGGAGGAATGGGAGGGGGCATGTTCTAATTCCTGGGATGGGGATGCATCATGAGCTGGGCTGTCAAAGACTTGGCAGTTCTGATTTCAGAAACTTGAGCTGTCAGTGCGGGAGGGTGGATAGTGACTGCAGTGAGGCTGGTGTTGAAAAGAATCACTGTAACCATCAGTTACTGGATTTCATTTAACACACGTGTAATTGTTTACAGTCATTGTCCATGCCTACAGATAATTTATTTTGTATTTTTTGAATAAAGACATTTGTACATTCCTGATAACTGGGTGCAAGATCCATCTACCAAGGTCCTGATTGAAACTTAATTAAGGCACTTGATATTCTGTTTCGGAATTTATTGGTGCTTGCCAGTACTAGGAAGAACTTGGAAGCCGCTGTGCGTGAGACTAGAGAATTGTGTACGAAGTAGGCAAATACACAGTTATGTGACCTTTACGTAATAAAACAAGCTGCTCAAAAGTTACAAACTGTATCACCTTATTCATCTGCACACAAAGCCATAGTCACAGGACAACCTTAAAACCCTGCTGCTGCTGCTTCTCGGGTTTACTAGAAATCTGACAGGGCCTTTCCCTCCAGGAAACATTCCTTTGTCTAGAATGTTTCTCAGAACTACAAGTGACTTTAGTTTTGGTAAGAAATATCTTACTACAGTTCTTTGAAATATTAAACAATGCTCTGAAAATGAGGTACGTGCACTGACTTTATTTTGCCCTGTCTGTACTGCTTGTTTGGGGTGCTGGAATGGGTGGCCCAATGAATACCTGGGGAGGGAATGTGCCCTGAGGGTGTGAAACAGGTAAGTCCTCTTTGCTAAGAAAGGGTTGTGGGGTTTTTAAATACTTCTCTTGCTGAGGTATAATACGTGGTTATCTGCTGCCTTGAACCTTCCAGTCTTTCAGCTTTCTGGTAATGGGCTCTAGGATTTAGTCTGAATTACTTGGCACTAGATGCTGCTTTCCCTGAAGTGATGGCTTTATTTGCCATGTGCTGACCTGCCACAGCTCTTAACATGGATGTGTAAAAGTCACCTCTGCTTTCTAAACTTCAAAACAGGATTCCTCAAACTTGTCTATGTTCTTCTCTGAATGTCTCAACAACCAGCATCACTTTACAACTTCTCACCGCTGTAAAACTGACCTCTCAAGCCAGCTGTTGTTTTCCCCAGCTTCTTACCTTCAGTAAGAGCCATCCTTCACAGATGGGATGTGTGAAATCTCAATTGCTTTCTGGAAAAGTGGTCTGAAACTGCCTTGGGGCTGCCTGTCCTGAAGGACACCTTCCATGTCATTTAATACACCAGACTGTACCAACCATGTGGCTTCCAGACACTGGAGAAAGGACCAGAAGCTTCACCTAATCTTGGTAAGGAAACCGGGTAATGCAAGGCAGCAGATAGACAGATTTTTTTTAAAAACCTGTTCAGGCCTTCCTTACTCACATATATTTCTTTAGAAACTAAGAAAATGTCAGGAATAGAACTACTGAAGATGTTTCAATCAAGACAGCTTTTACTGCTGCAATGGACTGACAATTAAATGGTAGTATGGTACTGAAAAAAACCCATAGAACTAAGGTTTACCTCTGCTGTATGGTTTTTAGTGACAACTGGCCTTGGGCATGCTTGTCTGCAGTAAGTGGAGGACATCTTGTTCCCTTCTTCCAAGGAGGAGAGCACTGTGGTACAGAACGCTGTGTATCTGTGCCCTAGTTCTCAGAGCTGCACTGCTCATCTACTTGGTCTAAAGTTGTGTCGGAATTGGGAACTGGTTACATTAGATGAGATGTATCTATCCCAACCCCAGTGTGTGACACTGAAAGTGGCAGGTCAGCAAGTTCCACCTGCCAAATGTACACATTCACTGGTGGCTGGAGCCTAGACAGCTACAAACCACTGGCTATAGCTGGAATCATTGCACTTGATTTCTAGCATCCCTTACATTACATGTACCCCTTAATGTTTAATTTCTGGAAAGATCAAGAGCATTCAGGTTGTGGTGTTCTTTCTATAGCAGTTGCTGGTCGGAGTTCAGCAGCAGCTGGAGGCTCCTGACTTGAGGTTCTCTCCCTTGGCTGACAAGCACCTGCTACTCCATGTTTGACAGACTGTTAAATGCTCTACATGCCCAGACTGCCCATTTCCCTTGCTGGGGCAGAGCTGGCTGAGTTGATGTGTTACATTCATGCTACTAATAAGTTAATTTGAGTTCATATGTTACAAAGCTGAAAAAAAAACCCATAAGCTTAGATAAGGCACGACTTAATCTGTGATTATACAAACCGTTTGACAAGTTAATAAATGTCAGCCTGTGACACCTTGTGTTACAGTAGCTGCCAAGTGCCTGTTGTTGATAAGGCTTTAAGTTGTACCTGATTGTGGCTTGAACATTCTATATACATCTGGCTGAACCGGTGTGTTTTGCACAGTATAAAATCACACACACGGCTCAGGTATGGAACAGATGCCTCAAAAGAGGAGCATGGCACCTCTTGAACAAATGAAGTGTACAGACAAGTTTGTAATGGAAGTTCTTGCAGTTCCCTTTACGTCTGATGAACTTCATGAAGCATTAGCTCCCGAGGTATGCTTGTTTCTGGGCCATGGAGCTTGGATGCTCTTCTTTCAAAGGCAGTTACCATCTGCTTAATCACTTCATCAAAAAATAGTGTAGCGAGTTTTGAGTGTAGAAGTGAACGAAATTCAAAAGAAACCTGTATAAGAACAGAGAGAATAATTGTTTTTCCTGTGTCTGCCATTGTGGTAAAATGCCGTTAGAAAAAGACAACTTCCTTAAAGCATCTCCAGTTAGTCTGCAAGCTGCAGGAGAAAGAGCAGTTATAACAGAGCTATAGGTGAGTGTGTCTGTGAAGAAAAGCCTTATTCCTTGGTCAGAGGACCATCTCCCCAAGCTCTTCAATTAGAAGAATCTCTTCGTTCAGTTTTCTGAGGTAATCATTTCCATTTATCTAAACTCTATTTTACTTGATAAATGATGCATTACAATCAGGATAATGAAAACCTGTTGACAAACAATAACTCAGTTACTTTGCACACAGGATTCACCTGGGGGCCATAAGTTGTCTGAAGGAAGTCCTGCACAGCATGGCAGCAGACTTACAGGTAAGCTGGGGCAAACCCAAGAGGCATTTAAACCTAGCTCGAAACACTTACCTGTGAAATACCAGCATTTTAAATCAGTCTTTCCATCTTGGTAGCTGGAGTTTATGGTACGTTCAAATGAGCTACAAATTTGATTCTGTGTGCCAGAACACACTGTCCTGACACAGGCAGGTAATGTCAGCCTATGGCCATACTGGTTAAGTCCTCTGTGCTGCACCCTTTGGCCTCTTACCACAGCACTCAGAACTTCTACATTTTCTTTTAGCTACTGAGTCTTGCACTTAAACTGAAGCTACTGCAGCAGTTAAAGGCAGGCATGCAGGGAGTTACCTTTTCTCTCTACCCTCAGAAGAAAAGGTCATTATAATGTCTAATAGCCTTCAATTATGTTTTTGTGCTGTGCTGGCCTTCAGTCTAGTTAAATAATATTCCCCTAAGGCTATGGAATGGTATTGTTTTGAAATATGCAGCTTCCCAAAATGATTTACAGACTTTTTTCAGGAAAAGCAGGTCACCCTGCTGCAATTTTATCACTCCTGCTATAGTATGTCTTTTGGATTGAGCTTTAAGTGTTTTTGTCATTCCTGAGAAATCAGCAGATTAAATGCTAAATTGAGCAAATGCAGCTTCTCTCAAATGGCTTATGAGTAATTGCACGTTAACTGCAACACAGGAGCACACAATTAAACCACTTGGCCCATAAGGCAAGCTTCATTTCCAATTTGCTTGACCTCAAGCATCAGTAAAATTAATGTGCCTTTTGAAAGTATGAAAGCTGTAGTTCAGAGCATGTAGAGTTGTGCAGAGCAGGCATAAGGAGTTTTTCATCATGTTCAGTTACTTCAGGTACGGTACACATTTACAAAGTTTGTACATGGTAAAAATGGTGGTGGGCTTCAATCTCTATACCAAGGCATTTAAGAGCCAAAATGAAACTAGAAAAGTTCCCTGCTGCATGTATGCGTCTCCTGGAATCAGGCTAGCAAAGTGGGATACAGTAGCTTGTGGGAATCAGCATAACTCGAAACTCGAATTACATTTTCTAAAGCAAATGAGCATTCTTGAAATCAAAGTTTTCTCTCCAGTATCTGTAACTGCACAGTATGTTTGGAGAAGGTTGTTGTGAAATGCTTATCATCCCTACCTGCACAGGCCCAGAGGCATTAACGCAGCTGGTCAGTAGGGTTAGAGATGGTCAGGACTTCTGCTGAGGCAACCGACTGCTCAGCTGGCTACATTTGCTTCTGCCACCTCAAAATGGGATAAGCTTAAGAAGTATAGGTAGTTTTTCCCCAAGAAAGTGAAAATGTCCTTATTAAATCCAATTTTGACTCCCTTTAACCAAAGTTCTTGACCTGAAATGTCAAAAGGTAGTACGGGAGTTTTCCTCACAGACTCAATATTTAGATTACAGGGTTTAAACATTTACATGTACTGGTTAGTAGCAGAAACTGGCACTTATTTGCCTGGAGAAATGAAAATACCATGAGCAAATAACAAGCAAATGTCACTGACAAATCCCATGAGAAATATATTTTTTTGGAGTGCCTATAGATTAATTTTTCCTGTTGAACTGCATGAATTGCTATACAGCAATAAACTGAAAGTTAGTAACCTGAGGAGATTAATGTGCTGGTTTACAAATACTCCAAAAGCTGTTTTTCTTGTTTACAGAAGGTAATTTTTAAAGCAGAGTACCCCAGTAGAGGGCAGCAGGATCAATCCATTTCTGTGCAATTTTGCATCCTGTTCTGAACTCCAGCTTAGTTATGTGCTCAATGCAGCACCGACCCTTAACACTATAAAATGTGAGAGAACAATGTGATGACAGACTACATAGACAAAATGGAAAAGCAATAACGTGAGTGAAAGACAACTTGTCTAGCAGTAACAGGCTAAATCATGTACTGGATTTAAAGAACCATAGTTCTGAGCTGCAGTTATATCCCATCATAGAGGTGAAAGACATCAAAAATCTATTATACCCGCATTATAGAAGGAAGATGTAAGACTAAAAATACATGAAGAAGTAAAATTGGAAGCCAGGAAATTAAACTGATCAAACTACAGGGCAAACAGGACAGATGGGAGAACACCTACTTTCTGGTACCAAGAGCACTTAGGTTGTAGAGCAATTAAAAAGGAAATAGCAAAGTATGTTTAGTATTTCACCCTTTGAATAAGAACTTCAGCATGTTCACAACTGTAGGGTGAGAGATGCCAATCATGATATGTGGGCTCCTCACAGAAGACTGCTGTACAGGACACTGTAGTGGTTTCCATATGGTAAACTTTCCAAATTTTTTTTGGATAGTTGTGACTAAAACTAACTTAGTTTCAGGGTTTGTGTAAAAGAAATAAATTAGTACCACACAATTAAAAAAAAAAAAAAAAAAAAGCACAGTTGAAGATACTGTTTCTATGCCCTGTTCCCAGCATGCCATAGTCTGAATGCCACTACTTACTGAAAAATCCAATGTACATGTCCTTGGATAACCAGGGATACCGGGGCTGAAACGCCACACTGTTTCCAAGTGATTAAATAGTTTCCCATCAGTGCAGGATGCCTAAAATAAAGTTTAAAAAGTGAAGCTACAGTTAGGCTTGTACAGATGTGACAAATCGCTGTTACTGGTTTGCATTTTGTTAGACAGTGAAGGTCACGAGATAGTTAAAATTATAGTGCAGCCAGCATGAGATCCCATTTGCACAGTGTCATTTATGGCAAGATAACTGAATTCCTTTTAAGGGAGAGGAAAAATGTTTGTGTTGAGAGTCATAAACCAGATCTCTAGCATGATGCAGGGAACACCAAAGTAATGCTAATGCTATATACCAGAATTTTGAACAACACCTCTTTAAGCAAAGGATATGGATATTTACTGGGTTTATATTTTTTTTTCCTTCATAACATATATAGAATGACTTTAATACTGATCTATAGGCTGGTAGTCTTGGGCTATAGGAATGCTTAGCATCAAAATAAACCTCACTGAAGACAAATGCCAAGCATCATCTGTCACAAGATACCACTGTGATCGAAAGTTACCGTGAAGCCAGTAAGACTATACACTCAAGTTCATAATCAGCTTATATGTTGGCTTTTAGTTACCAGCAAGCCATAGCTAACTAACATTTCAGGAGTGCTTGCATACAATCCTCCTTTAAAACAACAAAGTATTTGCTGGAGTTGGCTTTATAGTTTTCAAGACAATAGGATCCTTATTGTTACTGATTTCGCTTTTAGCACATACAGCTCATTTCGTACGGCTGTAATCTCAATTGGCTTGGAATTTCTGGAGAGAATTTCTGTAACTTTTCTTTTTTAACTTGTTTTTACAAGTTCTTCCTGTTACCACAAGCAGCTCTGCTCCAACAAGACTACACTTAATGAATAGGTATTGCTCGTGGTTTGAAAGCTGTGGTAAGGTAAGCCGTCTCCAAGATCAATCAGCAGCACAAAAATGCCTACGTTTTTCTGCCCAGGAATGAGATGCAGTGCTTTGCTACTTCTTCAGCAGAAAGGGAAGCAGAGGGAAGCAGTGGAGGGAAGATTAGCCACAAAGAGCTGAGTTTGCTTTTCCTGCAGCTGCCAGAAGGGCAGAAAGAACAGGAAAATTGCCATTGTGTCCCCCTTCCTCCCAACCTTGTAAGCAGCATACACATTCCCTGCTTTTCTGGTAGCTGCTGCTACCAATCTGATTTTTCCGCTGCTCATTTTGCTGTCACCAGTAGCCCATCATCCCAGACCAGCATGCAAGGTGCCTTTGCCCAGAGTTATTTCTGAGGCCAGGGAACCAGTCCAAACAGTTGCTTCTCTAGAAACATTCCTATAGTTACATGAATATAATGTAAACTTCTAGGAAAAATAATCCCAGCAAAGGCTAGTAAGTCAAGGAGGAGGAATTCTAAAGAATTTCCTCACCGCTTCCATGGTCTTTTCTGCAACAAGAATTGCTTTTTTGAGCGAATTAGA